CATTCATAAAAATGTGCACAAATATATCATTTTTCTTTTCCGGTCCCGAAAAAATTTATGGTTCCTTTGAAAACAATGCCTGAAATATCCAACGGTTATCTGTGTTTGCTGTCTCGGTTTATGAGCCGTTAATGATCTGTTTATAAAGATATGGATCTATAGAAAAACCATTCTACGTGAGCTTTAGAGTTCATGCTGGCAGAAATCAGTGACATTTTAAGAGGCCAAATCTATCTGTACATCATCAAAGGAAAACGCATTTGCAGTTACAAAAGCATGGGATGTGCATTTTTCACATACTTTCCTCTGAAACAAATAATTACCTTTAAAATTATGAAAGGTAGTCCAAATATATCCAACGATGAAATATATAAACTTGGTGCTTATTTCCCATTTTTTGAATATACGCTGATCCGAAGTTAGTACAATGCCTAATATTACGTGTTGTGTCGGACAGTGATATGAACAGTAAGTGCGAGTGCTACACGCAAGTCACGGTGAAAATTGACTCGGTAGCCTAGCTTATACTTGATTACGTTATTTTTATCCACTGAGTGGATTTAATTCTGAGAAAGCCTTTTAGTTAGGAAAACTGGCCTTTTAGTTAAGTTTGGTAGGCGTAGTGTGCATTAATTTTGGCTAAATTGGGAATAGCCTAAGATCGAAAAAAATTCCCCAAGAAAATTTTTTTAAATATGAATTATGCAATGAGAGAGTCCCAAAATAAGAAAGAAAAGTTTACGACACATCCCCTCCAGAACCGGAAAATATAGTTCGAAGTTGCTCAAATGCAAGTGAAGTCAATTTAAGGAATAGCATTTATTTTTGGAAGCAAGGAACAGTTTCAGTTTGTAAAATTGTTTTTTGCTAAACTATGAAGATTTTTGACGGTGCACTTATGTTTGAAATATCTCGTTAATCTCCCTGAGGTTCCGCCGCGCAGTACACACTATTCAATCATTTTAATTTATTTCTGCCAAGAAGTAGTGAACCGAAGCTCTAAGTCTATGAATCATTTTTCCTCTGTTTCATCATGTTATCATGAAGTAAACAAAATTATAGAGGGCGCGCCGCAGGGGGTAGCGTTATCGGTCAAGTTGTGAACTTCCCCTAGAGTGACCTATTCACCTTAAATCGTCGGGACAAGCGAATAGAAACTCAATCTCTCGCTCGGAGGCTGAACTGAAGAGGAGGGGCAGGCAGAGACTTTGCTTCTAACATTTTACCCCTTTTTCACGAGCTGCGAGAAAGTTACAAGCAATGTTAAGCTTAAGTCACGGCTAAGAATAAGAAAGCTTTGTCGGCTGGGATCACTCCCAAAATAACCGCACCAATTCACATTAATAACTTTGATACGTGCAGAAGCATATGGCCAAGAGGACCGTAGAATCAAAATTTGTACGGAAATAAAATAATAAAAGTGACAGTAATGGTCATTCCTACCAATAATGCGACTAATAAAATTAATTATTGAAATACACTGCGTGAGTGGTTTCAAGCAATGGACATTTTGATCTGGGATGACCGTTGACGGAATGCATTAGTATTCAGCTGTTTGTCTAGCTTCTACCAAAAGCTGTCTGATCTTCGTCTGAATGAAGAAATTAGTAAGCTTTACTCAAAAGTATAAAGTTAAAAATTATGCAGGTTTGAATGATAAATGCATGTTTTTGATGGAACCGGCAATGGTGCCCATCTTAAAGTCTAATGAAAATCAGTATTACTTGTGTAGATTAGGCAGAAATAACGTCCCGTTTAAGGAGTAGGTAACAATGAGAGAGCTAACTGAATGTAATCATCAGCATCTAGGCGAATAACAAGAAGGCAGGCTTTGCTAATACAGTTAAGACTGTCAATACCTGAAAGCTTATGACCCAGGAATGCATTAACATAAAGCAAGCACGTGGTATCTTATGTCTAATAGCTTCTGTTACCCGTAGTTTTGCAAGCGCATATCAGCATTACTTTTCCCGCCGTTTATAAATGGCCTTTTATTACTATCAGTATACTGCTACAACAAAGCTCAGTTCGGCGTGTAAATCAACCGCCGTTTTATATTCAACAGCCTGTTCATCTGGAAGATTTCGACTGTCCCTAGAATATTTGGATTTTGCGTATAACGTCTCGCCATATGAAAATTCCCCGTAAAAAGGAATATCCCATCTTAAATTTATGAAGTATTTCTGTTGACCTCCTATGTACATTTAAATAGCCGTAAGTAGGCATGCGTAAGCACGATTTTCGCTATCTGACATGTACTGAATTCACATTCGGAAATCACGCCGTATGGATGAACAAATCCGTAAGATTGAATCAAAAGCGTAAAGTTGAAAAGCGTGTGGGAAGGAATGATGAATGCGTGTTCTTGTAGCAATCGATAAAGGGGCCCATCTTAAAGTCTAATGAAAATCAATATTAATTGAGTAGATTAAGCAGGAATAGCCTCCCGGTCCAGAATTAGGTAACAGTGAATAAGTGAATAAGAACAAGGGAAGCTTTGCTAATACAGCTAAGACCATCCATAGCGGAAAGCACATAATTACAGCTGGCACACGACATCTGATGTCTAACAGCTTCTTTTTTTCCGAAGTTTTGCAAACACATGTCATCACTACTCGTCTCGCCCTTTTGAAATGAAATTTTATCACTGGCTGGTATACAGCTACAAAAAAGCCCGGTTCGCTGTCTACACCAACAGTCGTTGCATTTTCAACAGCCTATTCATCTGGAAGATTTCGACCGTCCCAGGGGTAGTTGCATCTTACTTGCAACGTCTCGCTATAGGAAAATTCCTCGCAAAAAGCGATATGCCATTTAAATTTATGAACTATTTCCCTTTGCCTTCTATGCATATTTAAGTACCCGTAAAAAGGCATGCGAAGACACGATTTTCGGTGTCCGATATCTGAAAAATTCACACTCAGAAAGTTCGCGACATGACATTTCCTACCTTGCAGTCAACTTTTTCAGACGATATCATAAAAGAACAGTACACAGTAAACTGATTGCTTGCGAGATTCAGTCCCGGAAATGGAGACTTGAGAGAAATGCGTAACCGATGGCTCTCAAAGTTTGGTAGGTGATCTCCCTACGGAACCGGTAAAAACTATTCCAGAAAAGCGTAGTGGTTCGAATCCTGCGAAACGGTAGCACGAGTTTTCAGAAGGCATAAGACATATTTAGAACACGCATAGACGGCAGAATTTATTGGTACCAGTAAATTTCGTGACAGCTCTTCAGCTGCGTCTTGTCGCTGCATAAGTATGATAACAAAGAGGAGATGCAGCCGTTTGAAATTTCGCAAAATGGATGACATAACAGCAAGGATCATAATTTAGTTTAAATAATCATCAGGTAAAGGACACAGCACTCGTCAACCTAAGACATATATCACAGCAAATTGCATGTATCGACTTCCAATAAAAGTTTGTCTTTTTCCAAATGATTAACAAATAACATGTCTCAATGTTGCTTTACGGCCATCGAGGGTTAACGCGGCACAGCCTAAATACCACTGCAGAAGTAAAGGAAGTGACTTTCAAATCTTTCCTTTTTAGTGGCGTCGGTTTCCTTGACGTGATGACAAGACAGGGATTGCTGGAGGTTACCGGAAAGCCGCCATTCGTGATGGGCAGTGAGTGCTGTGGCAAGGTCTCGGAGGTCGGCGAGGGTGTTACCAAATACAAAGTGAGTATTCCCTGCCCAATAGCTGTCACTTCCTTGACCTCCTTATTGTCGGGATAATTGTGAAGCTTGGTCAGCGAATGGAAACACTAAAGCCCCCACTACTTACTCTGAGATTTATAGTCCAACGTGTTTTTAATTCAAACTGCACAGACTAGTATTTATTGAAGAAGTCAGTTACTTTGGCTTCATCATATATATCTTTATTTGTATGCCTTTATCGGACAGCAAATATGGATAGTTTGCCAGGAGTGCGATCCTTTAGATTTGCAAGTCACTTGAAAAATACATTATTCACGCCATGTCACCTTGAATGCGACAGACAATGTGAGCTGTAGGAGAGCAGCCAATATATTATTCTGCAAATTACGGAGCTCAAAAGACCTTTGCGCTAAAAGTAGAAATGCACAATATCTTGAATATAGATCATTAGGGGAAATATTTTCTATAAGACAGAACGGATACCACTTTTAAATATGCGGTATCGATATCTGTAAGATGCCAGTGCTTCTCGAAGACAATGCTTTCTACTGCTAAGGGGACAGCAATACTGTTCTGAGCATACAGGTTCTCCTCTTAAAAGATCGTACCTTCTCTACAACTGTAGAGATCTGCTGTGATCCCATTTCTACAACTGGGAGGTTTGCCGGAATACACATTGAGAATATTTTGGTGCATTTCGTAGGTAGGAGATGCAGTGGTCGTGCTCTGTGATGGCGGTACCTGGACCGAGCGTCTCGTCGTAACCCCAATGTGCGAGACGGCAGCAGAGACAACGGAGGCAA